GAGGAGGGGACGTTGGGTGACAGGTCCACCCCCAGCACCCTTGGGTGCCCACCACCCTGTCCTGTTCCCAGGCCATCTACGAGCGTCTCTTCTGCTGGATCGTGGGACGCATCAACGCCAGCATTGCCGCCCGCGGCTACGACGCCCGTCTGCACGGCAAGAGCACCGTCATCGGCGTCCTCGACATCTACGGCTTCGAGATCTTCGACACCAACAGGTGACCCGGTCCCTAGAGTGGTGGGGACACGTGGAGGGGACAGGGCTTGAGAGGGACACGTGGAGGGAATGGGACCCAGGAGAGAGATGAGACCATGAGGAACACGTGGATGAGACCGTGAGGAACACGTGGAAGGGGTGGGGCTTGGGAGGGACACATGGAGGGGAGGACGCCTGATGGACAGGAGGAGGACAAAGGACCTAGGACGGGCACATGGAGGGGATGGGACCCAGGAGGGACATGGAAGGACAAGACCTCAAGGGATGCATGGAGGGACAGGAGCAGGAGGGACACGTGGAGCGGATGGGATGCGAGAGAGGTAGGTCCGTGAGGGACATGTGAAGGTGACAAGACCCAGGAGGGGGACATGGGTGGGTTGGGGCTTGTGAGGGACACACATAGCAGAGGAGGGTACCCAAGAGACATGTGGAGGACAGGACTCAGGAGGGACATGTGAGGGAGACGGGACTCAGGAGGGACAGGACCCGGGAGGGACCCGCAGATGGGACAGGATCCGGGAGGGACAAGGCGCGGGGCCAGGTGACGGTGGCCAACCTGACCCCCTGTCCACAGCTTCGAGCAGTTCTGCATCAACTACTGCAACGAGAAGCTGCAGCAGCTCTTCATCGAGCTGATCCTGCGGCAGGAGCAGGCCGAGTACCAGCGGGAGGGCATCGCCTGGCAGAGCGTGAGGGGATGGGGACATGGCAGGGACATGGGAGGGACATGGGGACATCACCTGGCAGAGCATGAGGGGATGGGGACATGGCGGGGGGGACATGGGGGGCTCACCCGGCAGAG